ATCGGCTAGTCTTCGATTTTGCCAATGGCTTTAAGTACGTACCAAGACACCAACTTACAAAGAACCAATAACTACTAAGTGTTGCCAATGTAGAGGAACAGATCAGTGGGTCATCACCAAATCAATAGGTGACCCAACAATATTTTATAAGAAAAAAAAAACTTCTTTTAATAAATTTCGAGGGATATAATTTTTTATTATAAAATTATTATTCGTCAGAAATTTTGGACTTTTTTAAATATATATTTTTGGAAGGAAAAAAATATAAATAGAACTTCTTTGAACATTACCGATTGATTTCAGACGGAATTTGCATTTAGCGGCGAGAGTTTTTCCGACGACAATATCCGGCTGATAGTTATTTTTCCAACGGATTTCCGACGGATAGTTATTTTTCCAACGGATTTTCGACGGATTTTGCCGTCGAAAAAAAATACATTTTTAGTAGTGATCAATCAAATGGGTATAATTGAACTGTTAATGTAAATTGTGTCTAGATACGTTCAAATGGATCTAATTGAACCATTAATGTAAATTGTATCTAAATACGTGTTTAGGCGGAAAAACAAGAAAACCGACTCACCGGAAAATGACACGTGTCATCCAAGTTACTTATTTATTATAAGTGTATATATATATATATATATATATACATACATACATATATGGTTGGGTTTCGATGAGAATGAAAGTTAAGGTGAACAACGTAAGAAGGGATCCCAACCACATTAGGATGAGATATATTGGTTTATTCCTCGTATCAAGCTCGATTTATGGGTGAGTTTGAGATTAAATGTGATCAAGGGACCAGAGCTCTTCTTACGCTTATCTTTTTAACAATCCTTCTCACATGATCATTTGTGTGTGTATGTGTGTATAGGTGGAGGTTCAAACTAGAACCTCTGTAATTTATAAGAACGCGAGAACAATACAATAACCTCAAACTTTTTTAATTAATAAATTTAACTTATATTAAATATAAATAAATTAATAAGGACAGTAATGTAATTAAGTAATTTTTATAATTTTTATTTTATTTTAATTAATTATAATTATCTTTTTTCTCCTTCGATTAATCACGTTCGTTTCCACTCTCTTCTCTTCCCTTGTGATAATTGTGTAAACATAACCTATCGAAACTATGATCAATCGAGTGTAACCATAACCTATCGAAACCATGAGTAATCGTTGTGATAAATGTGTTATTGTCTAACCCTAACCGTTCGAAACCATGATCAAATTGAGTGTGCAAGTGATGTTATAGTAGTGATATCACATGATTATCACACTCATATTACACCAAATCGTTTAGTGGATTTCTCCCGTAATTGTTGTGATAAATATGTGATTGCCTAATCCTAACCTATCAAAACCATGAGTAATCGTTGTGAGAAATGTGTGATTCTCTAACCCTAACCGATCGAAACCATGATCAAATCAAGTGCGCTGTTATGATGGTGATATCACATGATTATCATACTCATATCACACTAAATCGGCAGTTGATTTCCTAAGTTAACCCTAGCCGAGCAGAATCCTTGTGATTATCACACCCATATCATACTAAATCGTGTTAAAATAAGTGATAACCATAATAGCCCATTATGTTATCCATATTATTGGGTTTAGTGTGATCTGTGTTTTTAAAATTTTATCACTTTAAATTCCAATATTACCCTTTTGTCTCTCAAATTTTTTTGAATTGTTAAAAATCTTTTAATTTTTTTGTTATCGCAATATGAGGTTAATAGGTTGTTCCAAATCACGGGGGTTCTCGTTTGAACACTTCCATATATATATATGGTATATTTCTTTTACAACCTTGTGCATTTGTACAACCCTTGCAACCCAATTAATTGAGATATTTATATAAATGATGGGAGTTCATTTATTATGATTTGAATATTTATGGAATATGAATAGAGTTCATTAATTATGATTAATACTTTATATTTGGAAATAATCAAAACTTCTATGAAATCACATATTCATCAAATGAAATGGACGGTTGAGATTGGGTTGTATATGTTGCACAAATGTCAAGGGTTGTATAATAACCAACCTATATATATATATATATATATATATATACACACACACACAAGAGGGGGGAGGGGTAAAAGGAAAACTTGAAAGATATGAAAGAAAAAAAATAAGGGACACTCTGGTAATCATTCATATGGACGGTATGAAAATATGCATACAATTAATTGAAGTTGTTTCTTGGTTTTTACGTGCTTGTGCATATTATGCACATATGCATATCAGACAAATTGCTTACAAGTTATTTATATGCATATATGTATACCTTCAAGATGAATGATTACCAAAATGTTCTACTACTTTCATGACCAAGTAAGAGAAATGCATACTGCCATGAAGTTTTACCCAAATCTAAGAGGAAGACGACTTGCAGAACTTTATATAAACTAATGATAAATAATTAAAAAAAATTATCATCAAAATACCCTTTTAAAATATAAACTAATGATAAATAATTAAAAATTCAATTCTTTCTACACCCTTTTTAAATAAAACTTTATATAAACTAATGATAAATAAATAAATTGTATGAAAGCGTAACGTAGTTTAATTTAATTTTTATTTTGGGTAACGTACTTTCAAAACTTTCATTTTAGTACCAAGATGTAAAGTTTAACCATTTAAGTACCCGAGTAACCGGTTATCATGCTGATGTGGCGAATGATGTGGTATTCAACTCACTACTATTTGTTGACGTGGTCAATGATATGGATTTTTTAATCTAAAATTAGTCTCTTTTTTTTTAATCTAAAATTAGTCTTCAACCGGTTACACGGATAACTAAATATTTAAAACTTTACATCTTAGGTACCAAGTTAAAGTACATTAAAATCAAGTTAAAATACATTACTTTTTCATGCAATTTGCCCTAAACCTTAAAAAAAAAAACGACAAAGTTGGTGCCTAATTAGCTCAAAAGTGTGTGGAGGTCTCAGATTCAAATCCAAGGAGATTTAAAAATCCCCTTGTGGCCATAGAGGTTCAACGTTCAAATGCGATGACTCCGAGCTACCCGCAAAACAGGTGGTCGTCCTGGGAATTAGACGGCTCGCATAGCAGGTTGAATATCCAGGTTAATAAAAAATCTTGAAAAGTCGTTCTCTTTTTTTAGGGAAGAGGTTAGAAAATATGTTGGAACACAAATATCACCAAAATCTACATTTTCTCTAATTTAGAGAATTTGTTAATGTTATCATACATAAAACACGAACGAGACTTTACCGGTTTTCGGTTTTCGCAAAGGAAAGAGGTTGAATGTTACTTATGACACATGATCACAGTGGTTACAACGTCCCATTTGGTTCCAAAAGGGATTCACAAAGGTAAAATAGTGTTACATCCTCACTTCGATGTCTTCCTTTAACAAGTGATCTTTTACGGATTGAATGGGTACCTGTAAACAAACGACGTTAGCGTAGTTTATACGTAGAACTAGGGGTGTAAACGAGTCCAACTTTCAACGACCTACTCGAGCTCGACTTGATCTCGAACACCAAATAAAGCTTGTTTAACTTAACGAGTCAAGCTCCATAACATCAATGTTCGACTCGACTAGACTCGACTCGTTCGAAAACTCCATTAAACTTTACGAGTCGAGCCGAGCCGAGCATACACTTTTTTGAGCCAAACATATTTATATGTTTACAAATTATAAAAAATATCGAGCTAGAGTAAATAAACGAGTCAATCGATCCCAAGTTCAAACTCAAACATAAAAAAAAATCGAGCGAGAGCCCAACTTTGAAAAAGTTAATCGACCTCGAGTTCCTAATATTAGTTTTTCGAGCCGAGCTCGAATAACCTACTACTCGACTAGACTCAGCTCATTCACATCCCTATGAGAAGCAGAACTTTCAGCCATGTTTGGCGTTTGGCTATTTTATTGAAAAATATGCGTTTGGTTAAGTCATAAGCTAACGTTTTGAAAACCTGCTTCAATCAGCGTTTCAATAACCTCCAAAGGCTTTTTACGCTTTTCTTTTTCCAATTATAGGCCTTTTTATTTTTCTATTTAATTTTTCAACATATCCTTTGAAGTAATTTTACATTGTAATCTACCTTATCAACTAGTTTTTACCAAGCGTGACTAGTTTATTAGCTAGTTTTTACCAAACATGACTAGTTTGCTAAACATAGCATTGACCCTCGTAGTCGATATATTTGTGTGGTTGAATTAGGGCCTCGTAGTCGATAAATATCATTACATTGCAGATAGTATGAGTATGCAGCATGAGAGTGAGGAACTGAAAGTAGCAAAAAAGAAGCAGCAAATATTGAAAGCTAACCATAGGGTCATTGGCCCAACGGTACCCAGGTAGGGCCTAGCCCAACCTGTAGGAGGTCAAGGCCAGGGTTCAAACCTGACCAACGGTGCAGAGCGTGCATGAATATTTGCCTTATATAAATATTACATACTTCAATAATATATAGGGACGGTTGCTGTGAGAACCACAAAAAACTTGAGAACCATGGGAACCCATATACTCATTTATGCATATACACAAATGAATTTCAGTGAGTATATGCATTGATGCATATATACTTTGTATACATAGTAAATATGTATTGATGAATATACTCAATGACGAAATACATATTTTGTTAGTGTATATGCATTAATGAATGTACACGTTCTCACAGTTCTCAAATTCTTTGTGGCTGTCACCTGAACCTATATAGATATAGATATATACATACACACACATAATATATATATATATATATATTGGATGCTAGGATAATTGTGAGGGATGATACCTCTTTCCGGTGGAAAATGCCAGCAGCAAGAGCTGCGGAAGCATTCGTTTGGGAGAAAACCTCGGAGAAGTGTTCAACCGTTCCTGCACCACTACTTGCGATAACAGGAATACTCACAGCATCCGAGATCAGCTTTATCAGATCTATATCGAACCCTTTTCCTTGACCTGAAGTCACCCATTATAATACATTACTAACCAGTCCCAAAAACCTACCATGAATCTCTGATATTTTGAACAGTTCAAGACAATTATCTGTTACTTTCCCCTGTTATTCGTGTTTTAGTGGTAATAAGTTATAATTACCATCACAGTCGATGCAGTTCAGCAAGATTTCTCCAGCTCCCAGTTCTTCAACGGCTTTAGCAAGCTCGTAAGCACCAATAGGACGACCCTCTCGTCCACCCTTCACCTATTTCAGTTGCCAAAGACGATAACTAAATATTTCTCTAGTGACAGTTTTTCCATACTACGTAAAAACACATAATTTGAACAAAGCAGAATTAAAAGATTCAAAATTTTCCACGTGTTTGGTAGTGCCTTTTAAGTTTGAGAACGAGTAATGTATTCCATAAGTTGCAGTGTGAGATGTTGCATGAGGCGTGAACGAAAGCCTTTTTTATAACTATCATGTAAAACATCGAGACCCTCTCAGCCAAAAAATAAGTTAAAATGTTTAACATGGGTTTCAAGTAAAATCTAATGTGAAGGAAGGAAAACTTAGGGACTGTTTACCAGACGCTTAGTGGATAAGTGCTTGACGATTGCGACTTATCTTACCAGATGAGCATGGCCAAGAACCAAGAATCTTACCCAGTAAGTGCTCATCAGGAAATAGACGCTTACCAACAATCCATTGTGATGGTGAAGAATGTCACCCGATAAGGTGAGAGTGGTGACTCTTGTCCATAAACACTATCCCAGTAAGCGTTTGATAAACGACCCCTAACAGTGCCCTTTAACACACACACACACAAAAAAAGACTTACTGTGCACTGATACCACGCATACTCTTCACCATTTGGTCCTGGAAAAAGTAACAACTAATACATAAGAGATCTTAGCAATGAACTTCAGGTTTTACTGAAATTTGTCTTAATTTTGGATAAAGCCTCATGTTAGGGTGAATAACAATTCGACACATGGATTAGTTAAGTAGCAGATACTACCATCCAGCGTATAAAAGAGATATAATAAATACTGAAACAAGATCGCAAACTCGCGGCTTATATTTGGTTAGCAAAAATAATCATTATCACTACTTAAAAAGAGTTGGATGATTAATTGATACTCCTTCCATCAAAATAAATGTCCACAGTGAAAAAGCATACATTTTTAAGAATTTTTCGATCTCATCAACTTTTGAATATTTGAGCGTCTTAATCAAGGATAGAATTGGAAATGTATTTTGAAAGTAAACACATATTTTGCAACAAACAAAAATAGAAATGTGGACACTTATTTTGGGGCAGAGACAACAGTTTATTCGTGAGTCGACATTTAACATGCCTTCTATAGACAGTGGAAAGCTGAAAACAAATGTAAGGATGTGTGGAGAACAATATCAGGCTCTTCTCATAAACTATCATGTTCAGGAGGGCCTATCTGGGGGCGTATGGTGGCATGTGCCACCGCTTTCATGTTTCCAGTGTAGTGGAAAAACTATGTTTCTAAAGGGTGCCACCGTAATACTTTGTTGTGTGCCCCTATGATTTTGAAGACTAAATTACAACAGAAGTTTGTGGTGACTGAGCTGGTCTAAATCATCAGATTAAAGTGTCTTGCCCGAAGAAGCATGGGTTCAGATCCTGTTTTTAGCAATATACCCATTTTTCAGATATTATTTTATAGCTTTTGTGAAGAAAAGAATTTTGGAGAAAAGCAGCAAAGGCCGATCCCATGACATTTCGTTTGCAAATGCAACCAACCAACTAATCCATTATGATTTTGTGAAAATTTTCTATAGCTTTCACCCCATTGGAACAAATGGTGCCACCGTTTGAAACTTTTCTGGGTCCGCCCCTGATCGTGTTCATATATGAAGAAGAATATAAGCACAAAATATAAAAAACATTAAAAACAACACCAAAATTACTTACCCAAGTTTCTTACTTTAACAGACTTGAATCCAACCTCATAAGGACTGGTCAGATATTGTCTACGAGGATCAATGCTGACAACCACCGCCTGCAAAATCTCAAATCAACATATATGTGGATGCTGATACCTATTATTGTATGCATGTATCAGAACAATACCACTGCTTAAAGCCCCCCCCCCCCCCAAAAACACAACCCTTGCAACTCTATAAATACACCATTAGAGCACACACTCAGAATATATATATCCCCCCCCCCCCAAAAACACACACACACACAATAAAAGAACAATGACATAGCCGCATATTCCCTTCGTTCCAAAATAAATGTCCACAATAAAAAAACACAGTTTTAGGAATGTGTAATTATTACAGTTATAAGTAACTGAATGATGATTTTACCATTAATGAATTTCTCCCTCATGATTTTTAAAGTGGTCGATGATTTTGGGACAAACTTAAACATAAATGTGGATACTTATTTTGGGACAGAGGGAGTAGTAAAGATTCAACCACTCCCTTCCTCCTGTTTTGGGCTTTTGATGAATTCATCAGTTCATGCTCAGGGGGATTTAGAGGATGGAACATGAAACCATGCAGTTGCGAGATTCAATCATCACTTAGGTTCCCCCCCCCCTAGTTGAGGACTATCTCCCACAATTAGAACCATCTAAAATGACGTATAAGATGGATCCATTACGAATGCACATGTGAAACTTGAATTTATGCCCATGGTTGATCAAAAGAAAACACATAGGGCCTGTGATTTAGCAGCTTAATGAGCTTAATTGGATTCACAGCTTATTCAGTTAGTTATACATGACTTTGATAGTAGCTTATGTAGTAAGCTTATCTATACAGAACTCAATGGAAAACCAACCAAACAGCCCCATACTCTACCATGAAGTAAAAGGCGATATATCTGAAATTATTTCTACACATAGCTCTCAATCAAATTTATTACCGGCTGCAGTTTCACAGGGTTACAGACTAGGAGCTCCTTGACCAGATTTTGTGACTACATAGCATGCAAGACAAATGGAGTGTACGCAAAAAACCAAGGGAAAAGGGAAACAATCACCTGATTCCCATAGACTCTGGAAATTTGTTCTAAGCTGCTATTTCCGGTTTTTATCTGTAAAAAAGGATCCACGGAAAATCAGATAAACAACATAAGTTTAGGAAGTTAAACATCACTATGCATGTGGCATATTCATCTACATTGCATCTACAGAATAAAAATTAGTTTCTTACTCCTGTCTTTAGATACTCTTCGGCTGCATAAACAGCATCACTCCCAATGGAAATCTTATCGGCACCAGATCTGAAATATTCTGAAGCAACTTCCAAACTAGAATAATACCTATGGGAACATAAACACTTGATAAATTAAGTTCCTCACAAGAACATATACAGACACATCTGACAAATTGATTGTTTGCTAAAAATGCAAGCAAGACCTGCCATTTCCATCAGTGAAATCTCTGATACCACCACCAACTGTTAGTGGTACAAAAACATTCTCTGATGTGCGCCTCAATATCTATCAAACAAACAACCATCAATGTGTTAGAAAACATAAGATCAAATATATAGCAAGATGCCAAAGCGAATTTATTTAAGTTGTAGAACAATAAAAGAACATACCTCCAACATTGGCAAATCACCCAAAGGGAAATCACGAAAACCAGTAATATTCAAAAAGCTAATCTGCAACGCATTGTTGTTTATTAGAAGATACCTGCAATGAAACTAATGTGTAAGGAAAAGGCAGTACCTCGTCAGCTCCGTCTTTGTAGTACTGTCCAGCAAGTTCAACTGGCTTACCCAGGTTCCTCACCTATAAAAGATAACACCATTGTTACAACTATTTAATATAAATTTGCTTACAAGTTACAAAAACAATTTTTGCAGAGCAAGCATACTATCTTCAACTGAAATATGTGCTTCCCATTTTAAAAGTACTTTCACCTTTGCACTTTAATAATTCAGAATAATGTTGGCAAGTTATCACTTCAAAGAAACAAGTGCAAGTTTTTTTTCGTTTTGGCTTGTTATTGCATCATCTATTTAGTTTCTTTTTGTTTTTGTTCATGGCCGTCCTAACCATTAGGCAATTAAGACAATTGCATAAGGGGATGATTTTTAGGATGCATTTAATATATCTATACTATCTTATTAAGCAAATTTAGCAAAAGTCTTAAAGTCTTAAAATACTAAATGACCAAGATACCCTTTATACTACCCTTACGTCACTTTTTCACTTTTTCACTTTTTCACCCCCTCCTCTCTCACATACACTCACCCTCTCACATTGAACCGATTTTTTTAAAATTATAATTAGTTAATTAATTTCTTTTACGTCCTTTACTTTTAAATGTTTCATTTTAAACTTTTATCAAATTAACATACATAATCGTATATCAATTAAAACATGTTTAAAAAATACATTTTTATTTTAACAAGTTACACCATTATAATCGTCTCGTTAATACCTTCGAAATRAGTCCAATATTGAATAGTTTTTKACTTAATTATATACTGTGAAAAAATATTTTTAATATTTACGATTTATACTTTTATAGTTATTTATTTATATATATACTATATATTTTGGGGTTAGGCTGTCCAAATTGCACTGTATAATATGTTCTGAATTAATATGTTCTTGGGTTTTTTTGAAATATATATATACATGTATTAATTCAACCTTAATCTGAGTTTCTGGACAAGAAAGAGGATAAGCATTGAAATTTCATTCTAAAACCCATCTTTTTTGGTCTTTTCATGGCTTATGATATGTCAAATTTGTAGTTTTCTTTATTGGTTTTGAGTGTTTATCTTAAAACTCAAGTTTCTTGGTTCTTTGGTTTTGGKGTAAATCGAACACATTTGTGAAGTCGTTTAAATATGTTGGATTTTAAATATATTGGATTTTAAACTGTCATACAATTTTTTTCATCGATAGTCTGTAATTGGAAACATAACTCTTATTTATTCAAATTGTATTAATATGTAAAGACCAAGTGTAACCTATATCATCGTTAAATCTTATCTTATAAAACCAGTGGAACTTCAAAATCGTTAAAATTTATGGCTCCCGCCGCATTGCGCGAGTACACAACTAGTTATTTAAAATCAATAATGATTTGTATTAAATTTTATTATTTGTTTTTCCAAAAAGATCAACTGTTACTAATATGCTACATAATTGTCAAGAGAACACACAAAAAACAAAGTTTGAAAAGTTTAGTATATTACTTGATCATATCCTATAATTTCTCCATCATAATATTTTTCGAGGTTTTATTTTTCTTTCTTACTCTGTCTTATTTGTATTTATTGTTAAATTGCATGTTCTTTGTTTCACTTATTTTTTAATCATTTTATATTGTTATTGTTGTGTACTTGTGTTTTTTATTTTGTTTTAAAATAATTACCATCCTTGAATATGAATCTTGATACGAAAAACTTAAGAAAAAGAACAATAGAAAATATGATCAATCCCAAAAAGGAGGTCTTGGAAATTTCCTACAAATAATAAGAAATAATTGAATGCCACCTGTGATAATGAAACCGAGATAGATAATTCTAGCTATGTTATCGATTGAAATTTTTTCACTAAATGAACTTGAGCATAAAGAATTATTTAATCAATTTATCTCTAAAAAAGCAAGACAAGTAAAACTTCAATAAATCTAGAAAAAGAACTAGACCTATTTAATTTTTCCCCCCAATGCCTACTTTAAGTTTGAGGTGGGCCTGTTTCTGTTCTATGCTTTGTTCCTTTTATAACAATTCCAACTGTGAATGACCTATTCAAAGTTTGAGTGAACTCTCAATGAAGATGTAGAGTGAACAGACAGCACAATAGTATGAATCTATGATGTCTAGATAACACAATATTGTTCAACATACCTCATTCTCTTTTGTCTGCTCTCTCACATCATACTGATCTCCTTTGGTTACAACAAGATCGCCATTATCATTTGTTCTCACATCAAGACAAGCAATTACCTGCAAATAGGTAATGTTAAATATTACAATACTCTCTACTAGTCATCTATAGAAATTATTAAATAAAAATAAACTGTGTACGAAATCATTTCAAATATGCTACAAAAACAACAGTGTTCAAAGAAAAGCATAACAACTGCAATTTCATAGCTTCAGTTATAGTAACTTTGACTAATAAACCAACAACTCACCCTCTTGGCAAGCTTTGTAGCCTTCCCTTGAAATGGCTTCTGTCTTCACATGATGGTGTAGATTGTTAAATAATTTGAAGACAGGTCAAATTTCGAATTCAAAATCTTAAAGGCTACCTTAGTCTGGGAACTTGGTAACAAGAACTTCCGCAGTATCGAAAGACCAACATCTGAAAATTTCAACAGTGGTCAAGTACAAGTGTCATAAAGAGAAAAAATCACCCCAAGAAAGAAGAAGATGCTGAGCTTCTAATGCTTAACATAATTCTTGATAGGATCATTGAGTTAGAACTGGTGAACATACATTATTTTTTCTAACAAGAAAAATAAAGAGTTGAATGACATCTCCTAAAGATAACCACAAACAAGGAACTTGCCTCCACTCTTCTCTGGGTGAAATTGAACAGCATGTACATTTCCCCTTCTAATGGATGATATGAAGTCAATCCCGTAGTTACATGTGGATGAAACCCACTCTTCATTTTCTTCTGACTACACATTAAATCAAGTAAAGCACTTTAATTGAGCTTAAGTGAAAAAGAAGGCAGATTTAGAGGATGAATAAGACAAGCAAACATACTGGAACAGCACGGTATGAATGGACAAAATATACATGGCGGTCCGCGATATCATCTAAAATAACCGAATCTTGCTTAATTTGCAGAGCATTCCAGCCAATGTGAGGAACTCTGCAACCATTTGAAGAATCAAAACGTCCAACCACCCCAGGAATCAAACCAAGACCTCTCACTGAGGCAGCAAATCATCAATTAATTAGAAACAATTATGATGATATTCAGTCCACTAATAGAACATAATTGCAAACTAGAGCTTATAAAACATGGAAATTTTTTATATTATTTTTCGTAACACTTGTTCAGCTGGTTCAGTTTTGACATCTAGATAAGAAGTTACAAAATAGAACATGGAAGGTCTCCAAAGCGAAACTTCAAGATTTGTCACTGTTAACCTAATTTTTTTAAACTTTGTACAATAGAAAAATGTCAAGCATCTGTCTAGACATACATACAAGAAAGAAAATATAACAAAAAATATCCCATCATTAAATTCGCATGTAAAGGTTAACGGTTTTATGGGTACAAAATTTGATCAATAATGTGTTCCATTTGCATGGATGATAATAATTATCTATTCAAATCCAAAAAGAAACAAGCAACCAAAAATATGTAGCAACAGGTTCCAAATATAAACTGAAGGGACCGAGTTAAGTAAAACATATCGAATACCCACCTTGCCCTTTTTCCTCACTTGACTCGAATAGTAGCTGCATACCAAGGCAAATGCCTAAAAATGGGCGATCATTCTCGATGTAAGTGCGAAGTGCTTCAGCCATCCTAACACAATCAAGATTGAAGGATGAAAAAATGAATTCCGTTCTTTTTTAGAGAAATCATTCCCTAAACAAAACAGGCTCTTTAGATTGCTGCCACCTTGAGTAGTCTATATCAACTGTAGAGTTGTTCATGGCAAATCTTGAATAGAATGCTTACCTTGGTGTTTGTTGATGTAATTCCTAATTAAATTGAATAAACTGGCAAATATTTTCATCTCTGTTTTAATCCCCAACATCATGTACTACATTATATTTACAAGTGGACGGTCTACTACAATTCCTAAGTGACTCCTTGGCAATCTACCTTTACTTCATCATAACCCGCTACTTGACAAAAGTTTTGTTTCTACCTAATAAGTGATGAATGCCAATGCCTATACTGAAAGAGATAGAACCATTTGAAGATATGCATACTTATTTTCACCTAATCTGCTATCCCTCCTCTGTCCTATGTAAACTCATCTGACCATCAGTTACCTAGCTTTTTGTAGTTCAGCCACATTCATTTCCTGTTTCCTTGATGATCATGCTTTTTGTAGTTCAGCCACATTCATTATAAATTGTTATGGCAGGCCACTAAGAGGCATCAACTTTATATAACTTGTATTCTAATAATTGAACAACATGGATGAAAACATTCTACATTTATTGTACACCTGAATGTATATATTGCAAGCATAAGGTAAATAACCAAAGCATGCTAAAAATGGAAGTCACCCGTTATTGTTTAACACGTCCATCATTGCAGCAAATGCTCCAACCCCAGGAAAAATAAGGCGTTCCGCATTGAGAATGTCCTCTGGTGTTTGAACCTGGACAAAGAAAAGTACAATCAGAATTTAGTAATGCAACACAAAATATGCTCGAAGAAAATAGAATTACAAAATCAGATTACATTTCAAAGCCTCCATAGAACTTTTCAGTTCATAAACGATTCTGTCTTTGATTTACAACCATGTTGTTCTTCATTCGCTTAGGTTTAATCGTTTCGGCACAAGTTTGGCCAACTTCAGAGGCCTCTATCTATGAAGATATTACAAGTCGTTGAAATGTTTGTATCATATGGATGACAATCAGATCAAATGAAAAAACAACCTCCATGAATATGGTTTTATAAATATAAATTTGTCTAACGACAAATTTTGATTACCCCTACAAGCTGAAACATGCTAGTCTATTCATATGCGCCATGTTGATCAAAATGCCATTGGAAGAAAATACAGAAACCGAGAGCTTACATCTTTGATATCGAGACCAAGGTAACGGATTGCATTTCTAATACTTTGAACATTACCGGCACCATAATCAAGCAGAGTCACAGCTGCAAATTCAGGTAAATACAGAATATAAATTCAGTTTCACATGGCGTCCGAAATTAAAATCACTACTGAACAGAGAGAATGCAGAAAGAACCGGAATCATCGCCTCTAATAGCGGAGGCACGGACAGAAATTTTTGTCGGAGATTTAAAACTGATGATATTTCTGTTTAATTTCAGTGGCCACCTCCGTGAGCCGAGCGAACCAGAGACGGTGGTAAACTGCGAAGAACCGAACGTCGTGGCCTCCATTTTCCCCTTATCAACTCCGTTACCGCCGCCGCGCCGTCCCTACTTCAAAATCAAGCAGCTATGGTCGATCAGAGCACTGATGGCGCTTTCGGTTCCGATTGGGCCAAAATTTGCTGAACCCGATGTCAACCCAATCTAGGGTTCTTTACCAACGTGAACTTGGGCTAAACATGCGTAACAAACGCCTGGCCAATAAGCCCATAATTAAATAAACCAAGGGGCGTGTTTACTAAATTTTGTATCAAGTCTTGTATAAATAAATTTATTTGTCTAGATAAATGAGTGTCTGAACTAACAGTCTGAATAACATAAAATGACTTATTTACCCCCAATATTAATTATTTGAACATCAAAACAAAAAATCATAAAGAGGTTGACGATGGGGTGTCTCATTTGGAAAAAAGACGTTGCTTTAAATAAGGGGTAGGGTGTCATTTTTGTGGATGAATGGGGACAACACACTATTTCTATATGTGCGATTAAGTCATGTTATATGCGAATAAGCCGTAAGTAAACAACTCAAATGAGTTGTGCGACTAAGCCAGATAGACCAATAAGCACAATTAAGCCGCAAGCAAACAACCCCTAAGTGAATATTTTTTCTAGTTTGGTTATATGGGCAAATTGCATGAAGAAGTGACGTACTTTAACTTAATTTCTATTTTAAGTAACGTATTTTTAAAACTTCCATTTTTATATTTAAGATGTAAAGTTTTATACATTTAAGTATACGGGCAACAGTTTGAAGCATTAACCGGTTACCATGCTGATGTGTTATTCGGTTAATGCTTCAGCAAATAGTATTGAGTTAGATACCACATTACATCAACATGGTAACCGGTTAATACTTCAACAAGTTACTCAGGTACTTACATGTTTAAAATTTTACATCTGAGGTACCAAAATGTAAGTTTCAAATGTACGTTACTCAAAATATGAATCAAATTAAAGTATTTTATTTTTTCATGCAATTTGCTCTGGTTATATTTGGCAAACTAGTTGATAAGTTACTTGATGGTTGATAAGTTAGATGGTAGCTGATAACTTAACTGTAGTTGATAAACTGACTGATAAATTAATCATGTTTGACAAAAACTAATTGATAAACATGTTAAATGACTAAAAAGGATATCTTGAAAGATTAATCAATTATAATATTTTATAATATAATTGAACAAATATTTAATAATATAATTTAGTAATATAAACAAGATAATAATAAAAAAATAAAAAAATATAGTATATTAATTAAAATAAATTTAAATTAATTATTATATATTATAAATTTTGGATTGTTAAAACAAATTTTAGAGGAAAAAAATCTACAGTAATTTGTGATTTTAAATAAGCATTACATATAATATAAATATAAATATAATTGGTCAATTTCAAATATCTTAATTAATTATTAATTTTTTAAAAACTTTAATTGATAATTAAATTAAATAYWTTATTAAAATTATTTAACACAATTCTATAATCTATGAAAAAAAATAAGTATAACTTTGATTTTTATGTAACTTATAAAAATATTATTAAAGTTGTTATATTTTTTTTATTAACCTGGATATCCAACCCGTTATGCGAGCCGACTAATCTCAAGGCAACCACTTGCTTTGCAGATAGCTCAAAGTCACCGCATTTGAACCTCAGTGGCCACAAGGGTATTTTTATTTCTCATTGGATTTGAGCCATGGATGATGGGACCTCCAGGTATTTTTGATCTTTGGAACCAAACTCAAACTAATCAGGCACCACCTTTGTGGTTATATATTCCTTTTTTAATAACTAAATATATTAAATAATAATAATATAAAAATAATTGATATGGTTAATAATAATTTCAAATAATTAATATTTAATGTATAATTACAATCAATTAATAATGTTCAACTAGCATTAATTTATTAATAACAATTAATTTTTGTTTTTATTTATTACTGATTAATGTTTGTTAACATTATTTATAACTAATAGCGATAAACAGTTGTTAATATTAATGAGAGGCATAATTAGCATTAGTGATAAAAACCTCTTTATAAGCTGCTCCAACTAACATTTCAATAAACTAGTTTATGTTCATTCAAATATCTACTCAAAAAATAAGCTAGCTTATTTTTGTTAAACAATGTCTGTGTGCATATTTATGGTTTATGTGTTGGCTGATGAGACGCACAGCTTATTCAATCACGTATATATGATTGTTTGGTAATGGTTTAGGGGGTGTTTGGTTTAAACTGAGGAATGGAAAATGGCAAGAAATAAAACTGGATTCCTCCTAGTTTAATTTGAAATGAAATTTTGGGTTTATTAAGGAACAAACTCATTATATTATATAAAACCAAACAGTTTTTTAAATTTTCATTTCTATTGATTATTGTTTAATACCTCTAACCAAACACTCTCTTAATGATATAGAAAGTGACTTATTTTATAGTTTTTTAAGGGAATGATTTATATAGAAACCCAATTTTCTACAAACTTGTTCATTTCGGTTAAACACATGCGTTCGTTCCATCGTTTTGTTGTGAAGTTTCAAGTGCAAAAAAATGGTCTCAAGGGTCTCACGAAATTAATATGTTTTGAATTAATATGTTCGAGAACCTGGTTCATTCATACTGGTCGGTGATGGAGATTCCTTGCTAAACCTGGGAAGGGGACGGGAACGGAGATCCTCGTTTGTTAAATTAAAGTTTCTTAATCTATACTATCTTATTAAACAAATTTAGCAAAAGTCTTAAAATCTTAAAATTCTAAATGACCAAAATACCCTTTATACTCATTTTTTCACTTTTTCACCCCCTCATCTCCTTACATACACTCACCCCTTCACATATACTCACCCTCTCACAACCAATTTTTTTTAAATTATAATTTTAAATTTACACTTTATACCCTTATAATTAATTAATTAATTTACTTTACGTCATTTACTTTTAAATGTTTTATTTTAAACATTTATCAAATTAACATACATAATCGTATATCAAGTAAAACATGGTTAAAAAATACATTTTTATTTTAACAAGTTACACCATTATAATCGTCTCGTTAATACCTTCGAAATAAGTCCAATATTGAATAGTTTTTTACTTAATTATATTATTATATATTATATATACCGTGAAAAAATATTTTTAATATTCACGATTTATACTTTTATAGTTATTTATATATATATATATATATATATACTATATATTTTGGGGTTAGGCTATCCAAATTGTGAAGAACCCGTCAAGTTGATCATTCTGTTTATCTAAAAAGATCTGATTGTATCGATGCTTCCAAATTAAATACAGAGTGATCCACAAAACCACATTTGAAAGGTTACTCTTAGAACTCGAAATATCAAAGAAGTCTGATTCATTTAACAAATCATCAAAAAAGAATGAAAACAATCCTTTTAATGTTATGGAAAGAAAAATGATTTGATAACGTGTGAGCAAATCAACTTTACAGGCGAATCCTTTAAAATGTATTTTCATTCTTACTGAATTACAGTTTTGAAAAACATTCAAGTGTCTGCATCTTGGAAATGTCTGTTTAAAAAATGTATTTTTTTAAAACACCTAAACATTATGTCAATTGGGGTATTTAAAAATTCAAATTATCTATACCATATTATAAAGCATTTGACAAAAACTTTTAAAAACCATTTTTTATGCATGAAGTACCGTTTATTGATGCATATTACTTAAAATTCAATATTACAAGTAATTTTGCATAAGTACAACTTATTAAAGCTCCATTTTAAAATCCGTGTAACTAACTGCAGATAAACATAAACAAATACATGATAAACATCCATTTTAAATATATAAAATCTAAAATATAATTAAGATAATCATTGAATTCCAACAGAATGTTTAATTATTATCTTTATAAAAAAATATATTATTAAACCAAAAATAAAAACATTATCGTTTTCTCAAAACCACATAAAATCGTATTATATCGATAATGACAAAGAATAAAAATCAAACATTAAAATTAAGATTTATCTCGCTGCAATACACGAGTCCCTTCTATTACTATTTAAACATGCCTTTCAAAAATACTTTATTTAAACATAACATAATAAAAAGAATTTGTTTTTAATTTTTTTTATTAACCTAGATATCCAACCTGCTATGCGAGTCGACTAATCTAGTGTAGCCACATGCTTTTGCGGGTAGCCTGAAGTCGCCGCATTTGAACCTCCGTTGTCACAAGAGGATTTTTATTTCTTTTGGATTTGAATCTGAAATCTTCAGATACTTTTGATCTTTAGAGTTCAAGCTCAAACCAATCAGACACCATCTTTGTGGTTATAGTTTTTTATCTGTATTGTAGGGTGGAGGTTTGGGGGCATGGGAAACAAAAGGAAGGGGCAAAAACCATTTGAATAAAGAAAGTTGACATTGAATACAATATGAGAGCATGGAAGGTGCAAGATTTAGAACCCATTTTGTTATTGTTCCCACCAACACCATCATCCCATTTGCAACAAGTTTTACTAAAATAAGAAAATTAATTAAAATAATTATTTTTTATTGTTGGTTATTTTTTTAGTTATTTATTTTCTATATTATTTCTTTTTTTTAGTTATTTTTTTAACATTATAGTCCACCAAAAGGGTATCGTATGCAACAATTTACGCGGTAAGCATTAACCGTGGTAAGAGTCGTCTCTCTCACTTACCAGGTAAGACTCTCGGTCCTTGACTTTGCTCTTACCGGGTAAGATTCTTGGTATTTATCATATTCATCTGGTAAGGTAATGTAATGTTACTTGATAAATGTTTACTCAGATAACCGTTTAGTAAACAACCCTTAACGTGGTTAAATTATTGTCCAGATGTATTACAGAAGTCAAAACACAAACAACTTAAAGGGCATATCAATTAGTTTTTTCGAGAATTTGTGGACTCGTTATTTTTCCACCCGTTACTAATACATGATTTATTACTTAAGAACGTTGTTTTAAGTACTAGGGTTTAGATCCTTATGCAATACGATTTTGATATTACAGTAACAAGTTGTATCAGGGACGGACCTACTTTGGTGATATAGGTGGCACGTGCCGTTGTATTATTCCTTCGTCGAAGTGTAAAAATTTTAGGTTCGTAAAAGGTGCAACCATATTAATATCTTGTGTGTCACCGTACGTATTTTGAAAATACAATGAGAACAAGTTTTATTTGGTAGAGTTGATTTGCAAGACTTTTATTTCATTCCAAACCCAAGTTCGAATACTGTTAGTGTAATTTTCTTAATCAAAATGTGCCACCATTTAAAAAAAAATTGTATATTTGTTTTTTATAGTCAAACAGTGTCACCGTTTGAATTTTTTTTTCTTCTTATAGTCAAATGGTGCTACCGTTTGAAAAAAAAATTGGGGTCGTCCCTAAATTGTACCAACGATAAGGGGTAGAGTTTGCACAATAATGTAACAGTTTAAGTTACCCATTTTGCTTTGTGACACTGAGATTTAGGGGTTGTTTGACAGTTGCTGAATGGTTTGGTACAAAATGATTAAGTTGTCAGAATGATTAAGATACTCTCATGATATAGTGCAAAATGAAATATAAGTGTTCGATAATTGTTTACAATGAAATTAGGGTGCTGAATGATTAAGGGAGGTCCATGATACAAAATCATTAAAAGAGTTTTAGAACCATTAAGAAACAATAAGCATGGCAACGGGGAGGGGATTGGGGCGCGTTTTGTAATCCTCGACCCCGGTTCCGGTATGTAGTAATGTCCCCCGATCCCCGGCGGGTACGAGGATTATCATCCCGTTCCCGGTCAAATCTCTAACAATTCCCGGTCAAAACTCGGTAAAACTCCGGTCAAATTACCATATATAGTATCATTTAGTCTGAGTCTACCGGAGATCCCCCAGCCCCAGGACCCGTTTTAGTGGGGAATCCCCCGGACCCGTTCGGGTCGGGTGAACGAATTACCCACCCGGTCGGGGCAACTCACCATCGTAAGAGACAGACTTTTTTTATCAAACAAGATTCATCTCTTAACGATTCAGATGTTGTCCCTTAATAAAACTATTAAAAGGTAAACAAATAACTTCTACCATTAAGTAAATAAATAATTGTGCATCCGAGAGCAAATAATCATCATGAATTGTGTTTTCAAAATATACAAACCCATTTGTGACACTTTGATTGCCACCTTCAACAACATGATTTTCCATCACCAATAAATCAAAACCCCCCATTTTTCCTACACGAAAATTCGAAAACAGATACGACTGAATCCATTCAGACATCTTAAAACCTTCTTCGGTGTCATTACTTCTAATCAAGATCCAATTCCCATCATCTTCCCAATTGGGTAAAGATGGATTCATTGAAGTAGAAGCTTCAATCAATCGATTCATCCTGTCCACAGGAGATTCACCGGAAAACTTGACCGTTTGTATCACCGCCGGCGAAGATTCCGGCACCTCCAACGAACTCCAAAAATCTTGATCCAAAATACTCGTCGGAGAACTTTTCGTAAATTCTTCAACTTTTGTAAAATCAGGGTTCGAATTATCGACAAATGGGTGTCGGAGAAGTTGTTCCGTTGTCCATCTCTCTTTAGCATCTCTTTTCAACGATTTTGTCAAGAAATCTGTAGCTTCCGCCGACAGCCACCGTGGGAACGCCGGTAAGTCACCGGAAAACCCGATTCGGTACAAAGCAGAAACCGGATCATTCACTTCCGGCCACGGGTTAGATCCTGTCGCCATTTCGATTACTACACACCCAAGAGCCCATACATCAGCTGCAAACCCTTGTTCTTCGCCACGTGCAACCTCCGGCGCCATGAAAACCGGTGTACCGGAGAACTCGGAGGTGGCGTTCTCCACCAATTTAGCACAACCCAAATCGCCGATCTTGACACCATTTTCACCTACCAAGATGTTTTGACATTTAATATCACAATGCACCAAATTGTCTTGTTCTTCGACCTCCGGCGCCATGGAAACCGTTGTACCGGAAAACTCAGAAACGGCGTTTTCCACCAATTTAGCACAACCCAAATCGCCGATTTTGACACCATTTTCACCCACCAAGATATTTTCACATTTAATATCGCAATGCACCAAATGATTCGAGTGAAGATGATTTAATCCGAGAAGGATTTGACGGGTATAAGATCGGATCAAAGATTCATCAAGTGACCCACCATTGTTCTTGATGACGTCGGAAATTGTGCCGCCGGCAGCGTACTCCATGAACAGATTATACTTGGGTTTGTTGTTATCATAATCAACATCAAAACCCATGTATGAAATCACATGGGGTGAGTTCAATCGGGAAAGAAAGCGTTGTTCTTTCTGTAAGAACACAGAGGCGGAAAGCTCGCTAGACTTGACTGCAAAAAGATCTCCGGCGGCGGTGGTGGCGAGATAGACGGTGGCGGAGGAGCCCCGGCCGATAACGGGACCCCTTCTCCACTCCATTGTAGAATAGATAGAGAGATTTAAGGTATGTTGATATATGGGTTCTCTCTCTGTGTGTGTATATATATATGTGTGTGTGAATGAGAAATGGTGAGTTGTGATTGGATCACGTGGGAAACATGAGGGAGGAGCTTCACGGCGGACGATGGGCGGCGGACGGAGGTTGCTTGGCTTCAAATAAATCCAATCACGTGAGGACACGTGACAGGGACACCACCGCTACGGGATTCCTTCTCTCTGGCTCCGGTTCTTGGTTGGCACTCATGAGAAGTTATACATTGCGGCGGGTTTTAATGTACCCATAATCAATTCGCCAATCTTTCTAAATAAATAATACATAGGGACGTTGATAGGTTGAGTCAGATGTTTATAAAAGTTGTTCAATGGTTTGATGTAAAATATTTAAGTAGTCAGAATGATGATTCGTATGATATAATACAAAATGAAATATAATTATGTTTTTTAGTATAATCATCGTAAAACTAAAAGGCTTCAACTTATTTCACTGGGTTAGATTTATCTATATAAAAACAGTATCGTATGTCACAATTTACCTGGTAACATTTATCGGGTAAAAATCGTCTATCTCACTTACCCGGTAAAACTCTCAATCTTTATCGTTGTTTTTACCGGGAAATATTATTGATTATTACCATATTCATCTGATAAGGTAAAATGACCTGATAAACGTTTATCCGGTAAACTTTTACTAAACATACCCTAAGGCCATGGTTGGCAAATTAGTTGTTATCTTGTTACCATCTCATAAACTAAATAATAATGTAAATACCATAAAAGTAAATATAAGAAAAATAATTCAAAAAGAAATTAAGAAACTATTTGAACCAATTTTTTAAAAACCAATTTATAAGTTAATTTTTTGGCTTATAAAAAGTAAAGGGTCGTTTACCCAAATGTTTATTCAGTAAGTGCTTATCAGTAGAAATCAACATTATAATTTATTTTTATTGGATAAGATTGTAGTACATCAAAACGGTATCATATGCAATAATTTACCTGGTAAGCGCTTACCTGAGTAAGAGTCGTCATTCTCACTTACCGGGTAAGACTCTCTATCGTAATCATCGGTCTTACCAGGTAATATTCTTGGTCCTTGTCATGTTTATCCGGTGAGAAAAATTGTTCGGTAAGCACTTATCGGGTAAGCTTTTAGTAAACGGCCCATAAATTTTTTTCCAATAAACTTAAAGAATAACTTAATTTATGGTTGTCAAACATGATCTAAATATCATTTTTTTGTTAACTTTGGGTATTTGGGCCAAGTTGCACGCACCTCAGCTAATCTAAGGGGCTCTTATTAACAGTCAGGAAAATCCCCAATGGCCTTGCAGGACTCAAATCGATGACAAATCCCTAAAGACTCATGTCTTATTGTCAGTTGAGCTAACTTTTGTATGCAATAATTTATTTCTCAATATTTATATGTACACCGAAATACCATCACTTGTCATGTCAAAGATTTAGAAACAACGGTGGTGTCTGATTGGTATGAGCTTGACTCCAAATGTCAAAAGTAACAGGAGGTCCCAAATTCAAATCCAATGAGGAATAAAAATCTCCTTGTGGCCACGGAGGTTCAAATGCGGCAACTCCGGGCTATCTGCAAAGCAAGTGGTCGCCCTGGGATTAGTCGGCTGCATAGCGGGTTGGATATCCAGGTTAATAAAAAAAAGATTTAGAAACAAGAAAGACAATAACACGTTTATAAACGCTTATAATATAATAACGTAATAAACCAACACCCAAAACCCGAGTCATCACATTGTTTTGTTCATTTTAACCAAAAAATAAAAAATAATTATTTTTACGTTTCGGGTTTTTTTGAGTTACAAATAAAAGAAAAAACGTCAGAAATTGAGTAAACGATGGCGGTAGACGGCGGTAGACGGCGGTGGTGGATGATAGTGTGGTTAGGATTCTTATTCCCTTTATGAAATGGAATGTTTAACCGGCAAGCAAACGCCCATCATTTTGAAAACAAAATGCATACCACACCACACCCACATCATCATTCACCCTTTACACTCTTCCAACCTTTTCTTTTGTCCCCTGGCTTGGACCCACTTCACCCATGGTCCATAGCCACCTCTCACCACACATGGACCCAAAAAGGCCAAGATTCGAGGGGTTCCTCTTGATGTTTTCTTTAATAAACTCTCCCCTAGTCCTAACCCGATAGTGTTAAAGAAACATAATCATAAAGTGTGGTATTCGATTGGTTTGAACTTGGACTTCAAAGGTCAAAAGTGTTTGAAGGTACCAAGGAGAAATAAAAACCCTCTTGTGGCCATGGAGGTTCAAATACGGTGACTCTGAGATACCCGTGAAACGTGTGGTCGCCATGGGTTTAGTCGATTCACATAGCGGGTTAGATATTCAGATTAATAAAAAAAAGAATCAGTGTGATACGATTTTTGTATATATGTGTGTGTGTGTGTGTGTGTGTACTTTTTAAGAACCAATAAGAGACCTTTTTATATAAGAGATTTTGGTATATATGAAACTTGTAGATCAAAATAAAAGTTGGGTGATCTTTTTTTTGGAATAAAGAAAAGCGGTTGACGCTTTTGAGGTCATAATCCTCGACTTTTTTGTAGGCATAACACAGAGAACGTTTGCATGCTGTCTCATTTTTGGAAATTTTAATGATTAAATGTCGTTTTTTAATAAGTATAATTTATTTGCAACAAGAATAAGAAATTGTTGATTGGAAAATTCGTTCACGCTTTCAGTCATCAGTTTTCTCGTATTTCGTCATTTTTGTTTTTAACACGAGCACGTTATGGCATCAAATTGTGTCGAATTTTATAGCTAGATCACATCCTAGTTAAAGTACGCAGAGTTAAACCTAGTGTAACACCAGTTTTTGTCGAAAGATCTAGGGTTTTCATGTTTAAAGGTTTTTGAGATTCTAGACATTTATGGGACGAAAAAACCAAAACATTTACGAAACAAAAACAAACAGCAGCAAAAACAGTTTTTAATATAGCATGTATGTCACAAAAACTTACCTAGAGGTTCGTAAGAAGCTCTGATACCACTGTTGAGTTACGGGATCTCAAGCACAGCGGAAAATAAAACCGTAACCCTCCAAGGACCCATACGAACCGGAACAAATCGGGTGTTTCGAAATTACACCTCGCAGTTAGCGAAACTTTGAATCACAACAACAAACTAGTAGTGAAAGTCCTTTAGAGTTGTTGTGATTCAAAGTTTCGCTAACTGCGAGGTGTAATTTCAAAACACCCGATTTGTTCCGGTTTGTATGAGTCATTGGAGGGTTACGGTTTTATTTTCCGATGTGCTTGAGATCCCGTAACTCAACAAAAGTAACGTACTTTAACTTAACGTAATTTCAAAACATTCATTTTGATACCTAAGATGTAAAGTTTTAAATATTTAAATACCCGGATAACCGATTGAAACATTAACTGGTTACCATGCTGATGCGGCGAGTAATGTGGTATCTAACTCGGTATTATTTGCTGAAGCATCAACATAATAACCAGTTAATGCTTCAACCGGTTACCTAGTTACTTAAATGTTTAAACTTTACATCTTAGGTACCAAAATGAAAGTTTTAAAAGTGCGTTATCCAAAATAGGAATCAAGTTAAAGTACATTACTTTTTCATGCAATTTGACCAATTGTTTTTTACCCATCAATAAACATTCTAACGTAATTATTTTAGTTTTTAAGACTTTAGCTCATCGGTTACTAATGATTTATGACTATATTATGACATTTTAACGCATCAGTCGAAAATGACCTAATCAGTTCGAAGACTTGGTTTGAGACCTTGATTTTTTTTTTCTTGAATTTGTTGTGGACACTGTTACAAACTTAAATCCCCGGACAGTGGATTTTTTTTGATGTCAAATAAAGAGAGCCAAAAATTCAGTCCGGACCAAAAATACATGACCTGTTATCACGTATACAGCTCGGTCCCTGACCCAGATTAGTCCTATATTTCTTTCTTCCCGAAATCAAATTTGAACACATATAAAAATACTGTTTGAAAGTTTCCTCCTCTTTGAACGTCATATTGAAATACACTTTAAAATCTTTAATTACATCATTTAAATACACTTTAAATATTTTTCTACACAAGAATGCTGTACATGTTCTATAATTAGGATTTTTTAAATTCAGTATTGAAAGCAAGATAGGGAAACACTGTTTTAGATACAGTGATGTGAATAACCAGGGGTGGATTTAGTTTATGTTGGTAGGGGTCCTAGGCCCCCAACAAACCCACCAATTTAAAAAAAAAAAGACTATAAAAAGATTTGTTTAGTAAATTTTCCTATTGTGCGTCCAACAAGAACAAGGCAAGGCCCCCAACAATAACAAGACAAGGGCCCCCAACTTAATATCTTGATTGTTAATTGGTCCATTTGCAGCACACACTAATATTTTCGTTCGAAATATAAAATATAAAAATTATACACCTCGATGAATTAGTAAAAAGTAAAAAAAATCGACCTGAATAAGTTATCTTTATTCAGTTAACTGAACCGTTTAAGCCGAAAAGGAAAACTCAAAACCGTTTTCATCCGGATGAATTATTTGGTTTTGAATTTTTTTTTCTACACCCCTAAATGTGCCCCCGACTATAAAAGTTTCTGGATCCGCCACTGTGAATAAAAATCCCGACTTTCGTACAGTCATGCCTATGCTCATCCTTCCCCGTTTCTAAAACGCTTGAAAACTTCAAAAACTTAAAAAAAAACTTGAAGTTTTTGGTAATTTTTTTGAAAATCTAAAATCTTGAAACACTTGTTATATAATATAACTTTTTTAAAACCGGACTTATATATAACCAATCTCGATCCCAATCAAGTAAGCGGTCCTAGGCATCAAATTTTCGCAAAGAACATAACTAATCCCTAACCATCGGATCATGACCAGTCTCGAACCGGACCAAGCCCAATTTATTCATCTCTAGTAGTGATGGCCGAACCGGACCGGCCTGGCCTAGGACTGGTAAGGACCGGTTATAAGACCGAAATCTGGGGCCGGTTATGGAGGGTGTTTCACGGGACCAGTTATGGCCCGACCCGATTTTTAAAAAATGTAGTTATTTTTTAAAAAAATGTAGTTGTTATTTTTAAAAAAACTAGCCGTTTTTTAGACTCTTTTTTTATATTTTTTATTTTATAAACACTATATATAAGTGCATTGGTTGAGGGATTTACATACCAAGTTCTCGATTCGTAAAAAACGCAAAAAAACGTTCACAATTATCGGTTTCTCGCTATATTTTGTAAGACAATATAATTTTAATTATAATAAAACACATTTTTAAAGTGTGTATTTAAGTGACCCAATTACAAAATTTAGTATGTATTAAAAATATATATCATTAAAAAAATTAAATAAAAAATCATTTTTTAATGACCGGGACCGGCGGCCCATAACTGGTTACAATAAAGCTTGACCGGGCTCGACTTTTTCGAACAAGACCGATTATAGCCGGTTATGAGAAATCTTGAAACCGACCCGACCCGAAACCGGTTTTTGGCCATCACTAATCCATATTCTCTAGTGTCAAACTGAGTTTTTGGTTTGGATTTTGGAATGCATTTTCAAAACCATCATTACAAATTAAAACACACTAGTTTTAGATAATTGCCATATATTAAAAGTTAAGGGTTGTTTGACAGTTGTTAAATGATTTGGTATAAAATGATTAAGTGATCAGAATAATTAAGAGACTCTCATTATATAGTGTAAAATGAAATATAATATTTGATAATTGTTTACGATGAAATTATGATGCTGAATGATTAAGGAAGACCTATGATATAATATCGTTCATAGGGTTTTAGAACCATTAAGAAAAAAAAAAAAATTATCAAACAAGATTGACCTATTAACTATTCATATGTTGCCTCTTAATGAAACTATTAAGAGATAAACAAACAATCCGTTATTGATAATACGCTATTTTTATTCATTCTAATAACTAGTTGTTTTATAATAACTCTTTTTCACGCTCCTTTGGAGCAGGTTAAGAATCAGATTTTGCTTAAGGGGCTGTTTAGTAGTTGTTAAATGATTTAATGCAAAATGATTAAGAGACTCTCATGATATAGTACAAAATGAAATATAATTGTTTGATAATTATTTACAACGAAATTAAATGGAGACCCATAATACAAAATCATTCAGAGGGTTTTAGAACTATTAAAAGGCGGATTTGCACCGTTAAAAAAATAAAGTGAAAGCGCTCGGAATCAAATAAAAAAATAAGATCGAAACCAAGCACCCACCTCCGCGAGACTTTTTTTTGTCAAACAAGGTTTACCTCTTAACAATTCAAATATTGCTCCTTAATGAAACTATTAAGAGGTAAACAAACAACCCCTAAAACTTGATCAATTATAATTTAGATGCATACGAACAAATAGTCAATGCATTTAATTTCACTAGTTGTGTACCCGCGCAATGCGGCGGGATTTAATAAGTTTATTAAGATTTATTCAATTTTAAAATATCAAATTCTTTCACAATATCATAAGCCTATAACATTTGTACCTACGTTAGATTTAAATAACCATCCATGTGAAATGCTAGTATTAGTAGCTTCTGCAATCATCTGTAAAAACAAATCTTTTATGTGAATCGTGTATAATAACAAACACCTTTATAATTTTAATTATATGTGTAAGGAATAAGATTCAAAATGACCATCATCTTGTTGAACAATAAATCTTATCAACAATCATTTCTAAGGCAATATATCCAAAATAAGTTACAAGCATTGAAGGTATAATATTTTAAATATTTTTTTGGGTCATTCCTAATCCTAAATGAATTTTTATGCAACATGATTAACAATTACAAGATCACACAAGACCTAGTTTTACAAAAAGAATGTGTCAACATCATCATTAAACAAAATGAGGAATATGTTTTAAATGAGAGTTAACTGGACACCCTAACACATCTTTCAAAATCCAATACAAAAAGAGACTTAATTCAACACAACACCCAACAAAAATTAGTGATATGATTTAATCAAACACTTATTCCATGACTGTCAAATATACATATGTATATGGAAACATTTCATAAACCACAAAAATGTCTTGGGTTTCATATATATAACACCTACAAACATCATTAAATCCATCAACAATACTTTAGGTTTTCAGTTCAAAGCCAACAACAGTACTAAGATCTGGAAATAACCAACACATGTAAGGGTCATTTACCAAAATATTTACCTCTAAAAAACAACACTCGAACTTACTTTATCAAGTAAGGTTGTAATCCATCAAGTCAGTATTGAACACAACAATTTAATTAGTAAATGCTTGACGGGTAAGAGTCCATCCTTATCATTGCTCTTAATCGGTACAACACTCACTTTTTGCCATATAAGATAAATGACCCAATAATAACAATATTGTTATTTTATCATGCACAAACATTAATAGCAAATATCCATCTTATCTAGTGTATCAAATTGACCCTTAAATAATCAGAGAGTAAATTACAAGAAACATCTAAGTGGTATTAATCAGCCTGAGACCGCAACTTCAACCTGCAGTTTGGCACAACGATTTGTTGGTATTAGAGAACTACTTGATGATGTGTTATGCTTTTGTATCCTTATCTCTCTACCACATCTTGAATTCGTTGTATCATGTACAACTCCATCCATATAGCATAGCAAAATCGTCTTCAGATTTCAATATCCTTCTCATCACAATTTACTTGAGAAACAAAATCCCCTGCCAGTCACAAGTTGATCAATTTAATCTCAGTTTAGTACTCAAACGCATCAAGGATAAATACCTCCAAATATGATGTCGGTTCAACCAGATGAATAATAAACTTAGGGTCGTCCACCCAATTCTTACCCGGTAAGCGGTCACCGATAGAAGTCAACACTATGATTAATTTTGATGCGTAAGATTTTAGTATATCAAAACATATCGAATGCAACAATTTACTGGGTAAGAGTAGTCATCCTCATTTAACAGGTAAGACTCTTCATCCTTCTCATCGCTCTTATCCAGTAAGATTCTTGGCCCTTCTTATGTTCATCCAATGAAGAAATTTATCCAGTAAGCACTTACCGGTAAGTGTTTAGTAAATGGCCCCTTAGTATACAATTACAGATATATGCTTGAAACAAATATAAAGAATTATATTAGAATATTTGCATATACAACTAAATGCAATATCACAAACTCAAAGAAACAAGAGGAAAACAACAGTTAATGCAACCTGACCTCTTCTTCCCCAAAGGAATGTCCTCTTTGTCAATCTCTGTATTTGGCTTAACAAAGCAGCTTTAACTTCTTCTTCTTCCTCCGGTCTTGACTGTAGCTTGACTTGACCATCTTCTAGGTTTACGCATCAAACAAATACAAAAGAACTGGATGAATAATAGAATACCTTCATACCACCAATAGAAGGGCAAATAATACTTTCTCAATGAATTTTATGGTCAGACGACGGGACATGCTTTTTAGATAAATTGAAACTCAGGTATAAGACTTACGAATACTCTTCTATGACCACTTAAGAAATATTGAAGAATCATGGTCAATTTTGACTCCTTATATGGTATGTGGGAATTTCTCTCCCATCTGTTAATTCCGATATGACCTATGATAGCTCCAAGTTAGTAAAAAAAAGCTCCAATTAATAGAATATAAAATCTATATAAAGCAAAAACAAAATAACATCATGATCCTTAAGGCCCAATATACTCTAAAAAAGGTAATGTTAGTTGGGTGTTGGTGTTTTTCGATCTTTATCTAGAGTTCTGTAATTTGTGAAGAGCTTTACGTCGTGCATGTTTAGTCACCACCTCATTTAAATGATTAAGCTGGTGAAACAATCAATCTCCAACAAGAACAACAACCTCAGCTTTAATGCTACGGAATAGGCCAGACAAGATCAATTACAACAAATAAATCAAAAGGTAGTCATGGTGACACCTATTTCTAGGAAATTGTTGCAACGAGGACTTCTAATATAGTGATCAAAGTCCCTTGGTAGAAGTACGACGTTATTATTAAAAAGGTATAAGCTAGTCAGGGTGGCACATGTTTCTCTTTTTCATCATAGAAACATTAAAGAATTTGCTGCAGATGGATGAGTTAAATAACAAATAGTAGCACGACTACAAGTGAACATTTGTAGAGTAATATTACACTGATAAAATAATGGCAATGATTGATGACTCACAGTTCAAGAGTGAGCAGAATTTTATTAATGTAGGACCCTTCTTTTTGACAAACACCAGTGGTTTCAGCCTTGGAGCTCTCAGAACCTGCCATATCTAAGAGGTTTCTGCAATTCAAAGTGAAATAGAAGAATTTAAACCAAAACAGGAGACATTTTTCTGCATCAATGGATGCGTAAAAGAGGTGGTATGGAGCCAAATTTACCAGATCGTCTAGTAAACAAATAAAAATAAATTCAGCTGAAGAACTTTGCAATTAATTACAAGCCCCTTGTTGATAGCAATAACACGGGAAACAAGTCTAACATGAGGTTCAGAAACATACCAACTGTGAAAAGTTAATAGCCTCGCTTTCACTGTTTTCCCAAGGGCTGCTCTCTATTGTCTGTTAAATGGTAAAGCAATATGAAAACATGTTTAAATTCGAGAAAGAAATGAAGAACCAAAGACATGCAATAGTTCAGGAACAATAGAAAAATTTACAAAAAAAATAAAATGTCCCTTTAAGCGGATTTGCAGGATTTATACACAAGAAGAAAAAATAATAAAAGATTAATATCTGTAAGTATTTCAAGGATAAGACTTAGGAAATATTGAGACGTATAAAACAAACAGCAAAAGCTAAATTATGTGCAATRGTAGGAGAGCAGGGACCAACAATTAAATAAGAACCACCTGGATAATCTCACATGTGGGTGGGTAAAAAGAGATAGCACAAGACAAAAGATTCACATTCCAATATATGTTAAAGGCACCCAAATTAATGATCCAAGATGATTAACATGAGAAAGATAGGTGGAAGATGTGTCTATATGTGCTACATTAGCATTAAGAGTAGATTGTGCATGATGTGGACGTCAGAGTAACAAGAAGAGGTGAATTTTGCATCAGAAGCAAGCAGGAAAAGCCATTAACTGAAGGGGTATCAAACACAAAGAGGATGAGTTGGTGCTGACATACAAATGGTTCTAAAATTCATGTTTTCGATTACCCCAAAAAACCAAAATTGAATTACAGATTAAGAGTCAAGAGAGTTACTATTTCTTAGTAGGAGAAAAAGGACGTCCAAGAAAAGAGAAGTTCCCGCATTCCAATAGACACCAATGAATAATTCGTCAGAACTGCCTTTTTCCCCTTTGTTTCTCAAATGACATCAATGTGAGTCTTTAGCCGGAAGACCTTGCAAAGCCTAGCTGATGATCTAAGTTTTGTAATTCAGATGTAGACATGTAGTACAGTTTTGAACTGCCATTTTTTACAAGAGGCTGAGTGATAAAAGTTGAATAACCTTATCACAACTTGCTCTAAAAATTACTTTGAATATTATTAGACAATGCAGCCAAGAAAACATCAACATAACAAAACGGATAGGCGAATACAATTATCAATTTGACGAATTTGCTAGTAGCTTATTATAAACTTATTCCTAGTTGTCTTTTGTATTTAAGTTTCATCAGATTGTTTTCTATCTAAAACATTAAAAATCTAACATAAATACATTCAAAGAAATCCGATAGCCTAAAAATACCATCACCATGAACAAGCATCAAGCA